GCTGTCAGCACAGAGCCTGACATGGGGCTTGAACCCACAAACTGTAAGATCGTGACCTGAGCCAAAGTCAGACACTCAAACAGCTGAGCCACCCACGTGCCCCTAAGAGTCTTTTTTATCATGACTGGATGTTGGGTTTTTTCAAATGCCTTTTCTGCATCTATTTATATGATCATAAGATTTTTCTTCTTCAGCTTTGTTGGGTGGGATGGTTACATTAATCACTTTGAATGTTGAGCTAGTATACATATCTGGAGTAAATTCCATTTGGTCATTGTATATAATTCTTATAGATTGTTGGATTCAATATGCCAATATTTTGTTGAAGATTTTTACATCTATGTTCATGAGTGATATTGGCCTATAGTTATGTTTGTTTCTTTGTTTTCTTGTAATATCAGTATCTGGTTTTTATATTTAGGTAATGTTAGCCTTATAAGTCTTAGGATCTAGTTCCTCTTCTTCTCTTTTCTAGAATGTATTGTAAAGAATTGGTATAATTCTTTCCTTAAATATTTGGTAGAATTCACCAGTAAGACTGTGTAGGCCTGGTACTTTTTTTTCTTGGAAAGTTACTAATTCTTGATTCAATTTCTTTGATAGGCCTATTCAGATTAGTTATTTTTCCTTGTGTGAGTTTTAGTGGATTTTTTTTCAAGGAACTGGCCCATTTCCCCCAAGTTATCCAATCTGTAGGTTTAGAGTTATTCATAATATTCCTTTATGTTCCCTTTATTGTCCATGGGATCAGTAGTGAAGACCCCTTTGCATTTCTGACATTAGTGGTTTGTGTCTCCTCTCTTTTTTTCTTGTTTAGCCTACCTACAAGTTTATTCATTTTATTGCTCTTTTCAAAGAATCAGTTATTTATTTCATTGATTTTCCCTCTGTTTTCCTGTTTTCGATTTTTTGGATTTCTCCTCTAATTTTTTATTATTTATTCCTTCTCTTTGCTTTATATTATTTTTCTTATTATTGCCTTAATATATTATTATATTGCTATTTATTATTTCTTTGCTTCTGCTTACTCATCTTTTTCTAGTTCCTAAAGATAAAGTTTAGATTTTTTATTTCAGGTCTTTCTTCTTTTCTAAAATGTGCATTCTCTGCTGTAAATTTCCTTTTAAGCACTGCTTTGACTGTATACCACAAATTTTGATAAATTGCTCTTTTTCATTTAATTAAATGTTTTTTAATTTCTCTTGAGACTTTGACCCATTGTTTAGAAGTCTGTGGTTTAATCTCTATTTGGGATTTTTCTGGTATCTTTCTGTTATTATTGTCTAGTTTAATTCCGTTGTGAACTTGAAGCATACTTTGTATGATTTTTAACCTTTTAAATTTGTTAAAATATTTTTTATGTCACAGAATGTGGTCTACCTTAGTGAATATTCTTAGTGCTCTGGAGAAGAATGTGTATAGTATTGTTGAATGAAGTATTTTATAAACATCAACTAAATTCAAGTGATAGTACTGTTCATTTCATTATTTCCTTATTGATTTTCTGTCTCCTGGATCTTTCAATTACTGATAGAGGTAAATTGAAATCTCTACTTGTAATTGTGGATTTGTCTACTTCTCCTTGAGGGTCTATCAGTTTTTGCCACATATATTTTGACGCTCTCTTGTTAGGTGTGTATACATTTAGAGCTCTTTTATCATGTACTGCTCCTCTTTATCCTTAATAATTTTCCTTACTCTGGTGTCTACTTTGTCTGAAATTAATATAGCTTCTCCAGTTTTCTTTTAATTAGAGTTAGAATGGCATACAGGTAAATATTGGAGATGTTGCAGGTTCCAGACTACCACAATAAAGCAAATATTGTAGTGAAGCAAGCTAAATGAATATTTTGGTTTCCTATTACCTGTAAAAGTTGCTTATACTCAATGGTAGTCTATTAAGCGTGCAGTAATAGCATTATATCTAAGAAAACCATGTACATACCTTAAGGGAAAAAATACTTCATTGCTCAAAAATGCTAACCATCATCTGCACTTTCAGCAAGTCATAATCTTTTTGCTGGGGGAGGATCCTGCCTCAGTGTTAATGGCTATTGACTGATCACTGATTGATTGCTGAAGGCTGAGGTGGCTGTGGAAGCTTCTCTAAATTAGACCATGAAGTTTGCTACATTGATTGACTCTTCCTTTTATGAACAGTCTCTCTATAGCATATGATGCTGTTTGATAGCATTTTACACAAAGCAGAACTTCTTTCAAAATTGGAGACCATCTTCTCAAAGTCTGCTGTTTTATCAACTGAATTCTCATATTCTAAATCCTTTGTTGTCATTTCAACAGTCTTCACAGCATCTTCAGGTTCTAGATTCCATCTCAAGACACCACTTTCTCAGAGTGCCTGGGTGGCTTTATCAGTTGAGCATCTGACTTTGGCCCAGGTCATGATCTCATGGCTCTGAGTTTGAGCCCCACATCAGGCCTGCTGCTGTCAGTATGGAATGTGCTTCAGATCTTCTCTCCCCCTCTATCTGTCCTTCCCCTACTTGGGCTCTCTGTGTCTCTCTCAAAAATAAGTAAACATTAGAAAAATCACTTTCTCTCCTCATCCATGAGAACCAACTGTTCACCCGTTCGGGTTTGACTGAACTTAATCACATTTTCAGGCTCCTCTTCTAATTCTAGGTCTCTTGCTATTTCCACTACATCTGCAATTATTTCCTTCAATAAAGTCTTGAACCCCTGAGGGCTCCTAGGTGGCTCAGTCAGTTGAGCGCCTGACTTTGGCTTAGGTCATGATCTCACAGTTTGTCGGTTCGAGCCCCGCATCAGGCTCTGTGCTGACAGCTAGCTCAGAGCCTGGAGCCTGTCTTCAGATTCTATATCTCCCTCTCTCTGACCCTTCTCTGCTCACACCGTCTGTATCTCTCTCTCAAAAATAAATCAAACATTAAAAAAAAAAATTTTTTTTTAAGTCTTGAACCCCTGAAAGTTATCCATGAGGGTTGGAATTATTTCTTCCAAACTCCTGTTTATGTTGCTATTTTGACCTCTTCTCATGAATCTTGAATGTTCCTAATGGCATCTAGATGATGAAGGCTTTCCATTTACTTTGTCCATATCCATCACAGGAATCACTATCTATGGCAGCTATAGTCTTACAAAATGTATTTCTTTAATAAGATTTGAAAGTCGAAACTACTTTTTGATCTAGGCCTGCAGAACAGATATTGTGCTAGCAAGCATGAAAATAACATTAATTTCATGTATCTCTAGCAGAGTTCTTGGGTGACCAGGTATATTTTCAATGAACCAGTAATATTTTTAAAGGAATCTTTTTATCTGAGCAGTAGGTCTCAACAGTAAGTTTAAAATATGTAGTAAGCCATGTTGTAAACAGATATGCTCTCTCTAGACTTCGTTCTGTTTATAAGCAGTGTAGATTTAGCATAATTCTTAATGATTTTTGGAATGGTAAATGAGCATTGGCTTCTACTTAAAGTCACCAGCTTCATTGGCCCCGAACAATAGAGTTAGCCTGTCCTTTGAAGCCAGGCATTGGCTTTTCCTCTCCAACTATGGAAGTCCTAGATAGAGATGCCTGGGTGGCTTAGTTGGTTGGGTGTCTGGCTCTTGATTTCGGCTCAGGTCATGATCTCATGGTTTGTGGGAAGATTGAGCCCTGCATCAGGCTTTGCGCTGAAAGCACAGAGCCAGCTTGGGAGTCTCTCTATCTCTATCTCACCCTCTCTCTCTCTCTCTCAAGATAAATAAACTTTTGTTTAAAAGTCTTAGAGGTGCTTGGGTGGCTCAGTCAGTTAAACATCCAACTCTTGATTTCAGCTTAGATCATGATCTCACAGTTTGTGAGTTCAAGTCCCACATCCGGCTGTGTGCTGACAGTGTGGAGCCTTCTTGGGGTTCTCTCTCTCTCCACCCCTCCCCTGCTCATGCGGTCTCTTACCTCTCTCAAAATAAGTAAATAAACTTTAAAAAATAAAGTAAAAGTCCTAGATGGCATCTACTTTCAATACAAGGCTGTATATTGAAAATCTGTTGTTTGATGCAGTGACCTTCGCTAATTATCTTAGTTAGATCTTCTGGATAATTTCCTGTAGATTCTACATCAGCACTTGAAGCATCCTTGCCCTTTAGTTATGGAGCTGGCTCCTTTCCTAAACTCATGAACTAACCTCTGCTAACTTCAAACTAGTTATTCTACCCTTATTATACCTGAGCCCTGTCGAATTGGTGGTGAGGTTTTGGGGAGGATACGTATTCTCTTATCTCATGATTAAATCTTTTGTTTTTTGCTGGACCAGAGGCCCTGGGCTATGACCTTCAGATGAGTTCCTTAGCCTCTATGTGTATGTGTATGTGTATGTATGTGTGTGTATGTAAGGCTACTCTGTAGTTAGTTAATTGCCCTGCTCCCAAGTTATATAGGACTCTAATATAGTAGTTCCCCTTAAAGGCAGGCTTTTGTTAAGGAGACAGGAACTCTGGGTGTGTTTCAAATGGTTCTTTTTCCCCTCTGCTGGCCCATAGCACAAAGGGGATTTTTCCTTCACTGATCTTCACCCATGAGAGCCTGTTGGAGCTCCTAGAGGTAAAGCTAACATAAATGTGGATACCCTTCTGCCACTGGACCCCCAAGAATTTTAACTCACAAGCCAGCCCACACTCAGCCTCTAGCAGTATACCAGTTATTTTAAGTTTTCCTACCAATTAGGGCTCCAGGGGCTTTGGCTGCAGGTGAGCTGTAGCTTTCTGTCTTCACATGCTGTCTCCAGTGTTCAGGGTGGCAGTTTGCCTTGTGATGTTACTTCTCTGTTGTTTTCAGTTTTTGATTTTCAGTTTTTCAGTTTCCCTCTCTGATGATGGGAAAGACAGCTTCCAAGCCCTTTGCATGTTGGAGCAGAAACCAGAAGTTCTTTCTTACAGTTTTTATTATTAACTTTTGGCGATGAGTATGGATTTTATTAATCATTATAAATGTAATAGTCACATGGAGAAAGCCATGGAGGTCTGTGTTTGGACAGGTTGAAAGAACAGAACCTTGTGAAAGAGCTGAGGCCCCGGGACCTCCTGGAGAGCAGCAGTGACAGCGACGAAAAGGTCCCTGTGGCCAAGCCGTCCTCACTGTCCAAGCGAAAACTGGAGCTTGAGGTGGAAACAGTGGAGAAGAAAAAAAAAGGGCGACCTCGGAAGGAGTCTCGGCTCATGCCCGTGTCTCTGTCTGTCCAGGTGAGGCCAGCGGGCCCATGCTGCCTCGCCCAGCCTACCTTGTAACCTCAGTGCTGGAGTCCCCATGTGCCCAAGTGGCATAAGAGAGGCCATGCATGCCACAATGCGCCTCATCAGTGTGGGAACAGTTGGCAAGACATGCATACCCCCAGGGCTAGCATGGAGGCCATGCTCCCCCACACCTGCACCACTCAGAGTCCTTGAGCAGTTCCCTGAGACCAGCTACTCATCTGGAAAGTGAGGGTCTTTAGAGCATTCATCTGCACTTTCACCCTCACGGAGTGGGTGGAAATGCCTGGGGAACCAGCCTGGTGTCACCTGTGGGTGACTCACCTTTACCTGACGTTGCCCTACAGTGCTGGGGCGGGGCTCAGGGACATTTCTGCTCTTGCAGTCCCCAGCTGCCCTGACCGCAGAGAAGGATGCCGTGTGTTTGTCTGTACCAGCACCTGCACTGAAGCTGCCCATGCCAGGCCCACAGAGAGCATTCACCCTCCAGGTGAGCAGGCTTCCTGCCTTCCCCAACAAGCATGCACATTCTCTCCACTATCCCCCTGTGTAAATCCTTAATTGTCACTAACTTAGGGCTGCTTTCCAGTGGCTCTCCATCACTTTCTGGGGGAAGTTGTAGCTAATCAAGGCCCATGACTAGCCTCTTTCCCAAGGGCCCCCTTGCTGCCCACCCCACCACACACACATTTCTCTTCTCTGTGCTTTTCTCTTACAGTCCTGCTGCCGTCTTCTGGATGGCCAGCTCCTTCAAGACTTGTCTATGGTGTTCCTTTTGGTAGCCTCCTTGAGCTCCACATTCAGCCTTGGGTAGCCTCAGAGTTGATGTAGTTGGACTGCGTGGTAGTGGCCTCCCAACCACCTCACTGGCCTTGTCCTCTTCCCAGGACCCAGCAGAGTCATCGTCAGAGCTGTTTGAGCTCTTGGAGTAGAAGCTTGTGACCTTGTGCTTATTCAAAACACAGCTCTAGAGCAAAGAATCCTTTATACCTAGAGCCCTTCCATTCACTCAGTCTAGCACCTGACCTTGGACATGCCATAGGTTTATGCCTTTTGTTCCTCAGCTCAGATGCACGTCCTCAAGAAACCTTGTAGGACCCCACATGCAGGTCACTTTCTACTGAGCATACACTGCCCCACCCAAGCTGGTCCTTGTGGGACACCAGAGGTGTCAGCCCTTCCCACCACAAGGCTTTCTGGGCCTGAGGGTAGGGACCCATGTGGTTTGTTGCTGATGTATGCAGAGACAGGGCACACAAAATCTTTTCCATACTCTAGCTACCCCACTCCATAACCCAGGGGCTTTACCACTGAGTGCTGCCGCTTGGGGCTCTTCTTGGTTTCTGGGGGTCTATGAAGGGACTCGTTTCCCAGCAGCATCCAACCCTCTGCCCCACCTCACCTAGTTGTTTGGCCATATGAGTGCAAACTGTTCAGCCATTCTCTCTTGGGTTTCCATATGGGCTATCCATCCATCAACTCCCTGGGTATGAGAGATGAGGCTGAGCCAGCGCCCAGCCCTTTCCCTGCCCTGGGTGCCATACATCTGGACCTCTGACCTTGTCCCACCCTGTTACTACACATACCACCACCATCCCATAGGCTAGCCAGCTCTGTCTACTTCTCTGTGTCTTTTTCCTGCTGTGGGGTCTCTGAACATCTCACCTGTCACATGACCCAAATCTCAGTGGGCCCACCATTACCTGAAAAGACATTTTGTTTGCTTTCCTCCACCCAGGTGAGCTCCGACCCCTCCATGTACATTGAGGTGGAGAATGAAGTGACTGCTGTGGGGGGCGTGAAGCTAAGTCGTTTGAAGTGTAACCGGGAAGGGAAGGAGTGGGAGACAGTGCTCACCAGCCGGATCCTCACTGCTGCCGGCAGCTGGTAAGGGTGAGGGTCTTTGCCCAGCCCAGGTTTTAATGTCATGCAAGCACCACGTGCTATGCTGTGTGGCACTGTTACTATCTGAGACAGAGTGCATTGCCCTATGTGCTAGCTCCCACAGAGGCCTGTACCATGCCTTGCCCTGGGCTAAGGACGTGCATCTGTCATCTTAGTCCCCACAAGACCTAATAAAACCAGCATCATTATCACCATGTTACACTTGGGGAGGCTGTCTTAGAGGGTCACCCAGGGCAGGATTTCAAATCAGGGTTGAAATCCCAGATGTTGTGATTCGCTTATCTGGCCAAATTCCTAAAGTCTCAGGTTCCAGGCTGAGCTCTGCCTGGCTCTCTCTGACATGGAATGGCTCTTTCTTTGGACCCCAGATTTTCATCCAGGGAGATCAGGATGGATTTCTGATTGTCCTGTGAGTTTTCAGCCCAGCCCTTTCCATATTCTGTATGAGGGGAGACCTTAATTCAGTGGTTAGTCATCCTGTGCCTTCCCTTGAGCTTCCAGGACACAGTCCCCTGGATTTGTTTTGCATGTGCTTGATCTGAAAAGAGGACCAGGGTTTTCCTCAAGTGTCTGTTGAGGTGTAGGATCTGTATTCAGGACCATGTATTTGGTACTCATAAGGATTTTACAAAAATAATTGGCTTAGATACAGTCATTTTAACTAAGTCCTTAATTAGTTATCATGAGGCTGCATGTAAAATGCTTTCATGGTGTCTGCAAGTACTTGACCTTCCATCTTAGGCAAGGGTTCCCATGGGCCATGAACAGCTGCATGGTGTTGCGCCTAGGAGGAACCATCATTCTGTACCTCCTTTTCATTCTCTGCCAATGAGCAGACTGAGCTTCCTAATCCCAGGGACCCGTGAAGGACTAAGAGGCCTGTGTGGTGGGTACTGCTGTGGGCTCCCCCTGAGTCAACATTAGTCTGAGCTCAGAAAAGCTCAAGCAGCCCCTGAAAGGAAAGAGACCACATTCTCTTTAATCAGGTCTCATTTTGGCTAGGCTCCCATGAGCAGCTCCCTGCTGCCCTGGTCCTTGCTGCAAGCTCTTGGCCCACCTCTCCCTCTGCTGCTTCTGCTCAGAGGAACGCCACAGCAGGTACAGGGTGGGCATAGAAAGAGGAAAAGTTCTGCATTTCAGGGCTGCTGCCTCTGCCACAGCTCCCAGTCATCATGACACCTGTCCCTTCTCTGCCTTTTCAGTGACGTGGTATGCGTTGCCTGTGAAAAGAGGATGCTGTCAGTGTTCTCCGCCTGTGGTCGCCGTCTCCTCCCTCCCATCCTCCTGCCGTCCCCAATCTCCACTTTGCACTGCACGGGCTTCTACGTCATGGCACTTACAGCTGCAGCCACGTTGTCTGTCTGGTGAGAGGCAGGTCTAGGGTAGGATGGGCTCCAAGCAGGATAGGGTTGTGTAGGTCCCCTCTCACTGCAAGGACAGAGAAGGAAGCAAAGGAGGCCACTCAGCAGACCTGTCCTCGGACCCTGTAGGCCTGGGGATCTTAACGCCTGAGGAGTGCTAAGCAGTCACACACTGCTTGTGATAGCCAACCCGTGTTGGGGGAGGGAGGATGTGCAAGTAGAAGTGGGACAGGCTGCCTGCCCCTGCCGCCATCTTACAGGAGTAAACCTCATGACAAATCATAGTGCCTGATTACATGTGCGAGGATCCAAAAATGGGATCTCAGCTGCCAGAGCTTGGCCATGCTTCTCCCAGAGTTGGCATGGTGTTGGTGGCAGACCCCACAGCTCTGTTGCCTAGGCCCTCTGCTGTAATCTTGTGCAGAAGTAGTGTAGTGACACATGGGGAGTGGAAGCCACTTGTGGCACAGAGCCCCTCTCGGGGGAAGCAAGGGCTGGCTCTATACCAGGGACTGTAGAGTGGGGTCTGACCACCAAGGCACACTCTAATGCATTTACCCCAACTGGAGAGTAAGCTGTTCCCTGTCTCTCTCCTAGGGATGTTCACAGACAGGTAGTTGTGGTGAAAGAAGAATCTCTACACTCCATCCTGGCAGGTAACCTCAGCAGTGGACCACTCCTTCTTCTCTGGGGTGGGGCAGGCGATACCAGGACAAGGCAGTTTGAATTCCTGACATGAACCAGGCGCTGGGCCCAGCCTGAGGCATTCAGTGTTGGAGGGAATGCATTCTCCCCAGGAGCACATTTGAATGGGTCCCTGAAAGGTGACAAACAGCCTGGTGGGTGGCAGTGAGACCAGCATGTTTGGAGCAGAGCAGCAACTGCCTAGTTGCTGAGTCAGTGTGAAGGCATGTGTTGCTAGGACAATGGGAGCCATGGTTTGCGTTTCTCCTTAGGTCATATGCAGGCACCTGCTGATCAGAACACACCCAGAACCCATTCTTGTGCTGTCTCCCTAGGAAGTGACATGACAGTGTCACAGATCTTGCTGACACAGCATGGAATCCCAGTGATGAACCTATCTGATGGGAAGGCATACTGCTTTAATCCATCACTTTCTACATGGTAAGTAAGCCAGCCCCTGACCCTGTCCTTCTGGGAGAGTGTCCGTCTGAGCTGGAATAGACTCCTGGTCCTGGCAGTCAGGTCTTCCTGGCTTGGCTTTTCCTGACAGTCAAGCCCTACGGTTGGGGCAACAGTGGCAGCACTACTGGGCTCTATCCACCCTATCCAAGGAAAGAGAGAGCTTAAAGCCACCAGTAAGGCCCCACAGTCCCTGAGCAGGGGTGCTTTCCTTTTTCTGCATTGTTCTCTGGAGTCACTTTGGAATGAGCATTTGAAAATTCTTATGGTTGCCAATACACATTTCCAGCCTGGCATTAGAGCATAGGTGAGTGGGCTTCACAACAGTGTTGTCCACATTCATCAATTTTTGTAGTTTAGCAGGAGCCAAGTAGCAAGCAGTTCAGCTGACTTGTGAATTAGTAAGTTTGCACTGTCACTTACCATGTGTCATGGTCTGTCTTTCCTCAGCCCATTTTGGAGTTTAGAGTTCTTTTCTGTATTTGTAAAATCTCTATTCCTCCAAGATCTTAATCCAGACATGTGAAGCATGTACGTTGTGTACCAGCCACTCTCTTCTTCTGCCTGCACCTTTGGTCCTTCATACCCAAGCCAGCTGTCCTCCAGCCCTTATTTGTCAAGGGTTGCCAGGCACAAGTTTATCCTCCCACTGAGATTTCTTTCTTGAGTTAAAAACACAAAAACAGGTGCCTGGCTAGCTCAGTTGGTAAAACACGTGATCTTGAGGTTGTGAGTGTGAGCCCCACATTAGGTGTAGATTAGGAGATTACTTAAAAATAAAACATTTTTTTTAAAAATTGGAACTCCCCATTCCTAGCTCTTCCAATTTGCAAACTCTTGTGTATTATATTTACTGTAATTATGGAAATAGGCTATTTCTTTAAGAAGAGAAGTGTTGGCTCTGTATTTTGGACACATTTTTATAAAGACATCCAACTATTTTAAAAGTGTGCATAGAATTTTTTCTTAGCAAAGATGTGAAAGGTCCCAAGAAGCTGACTGCATGGGATGCTATAGAAGCTCAAGAAGGCTAGGGCCTGGCATTCCTGGAAGCTTCCAAGGACTGGGCCAGGTGGGCCCTAGTCAGGTGGGCATCTGATGCACACTTCACACACAGGCCTCTGTCCTCCAGTTCTGAGACCATGGAGCTTAAGTGGTCCCAGCGAGAGCCTTGTTGGTGACCTTCACCATCATCAATTTTGCCTCATAATGAAACCTGTCCATGAACAGTCTATGGAAAGAATGCAGTGACACTCAGCCTCTGCTGGCACTCTCACCACAAGTCATGTGGTGTTTGCTCGTCGGGGCCTCGCTGCCAACCTTTCTGGTGGACCTTCTGTTTTCCTGACCTCTGCTCCTGCTGTTGCCTCCCCAGGAACCTGGTGTCTGACAAGCAGGACTCCCTGGCCCAATGTGCAGACTTCAGGAGCAGCCTGCCTCCCCAGGATGCCATGCTGTGCTCCGGACCTTTAGCCATAGTCCAGGGCCGTGCCTCCACGTAGGTGACCCAATTTGCTGGGGGAGGTGGCTGGGTCACACAAGCACAGTCCCACCCAGGCCTGCACTCTGACTGCCATTCCCCTGTGCCTAGCTACTACTTAACACAGGCAGGTTGGAGGGTGCCAAGGATTGTGGGCCCACATTATGTAATAACACGTGGTGCTGGATCACAAGCCCTGTCACTTCAGGGCACAGATGGTAGCCTGAGGTGCTATGGGTCATGAACACAATGATGCGCAGTATTTTGAGGAGCAGGGGGGAATGGGCTGCTGGCCTATCACCTCAGGGGCCTTGATAGGAGGCATAGGGTGGGTGCACCCGGGATGCTAGACAGACCAGGAAGCCTGTGGCTAGGACATGGGAACGGTTTGGCCAGTGTGGAGTCTGACACCTGCCTCTTTACTGGCTCCTCATTGGTGTCCAGGGGCACAAGGTGGCAGCCTCCTGCCCCATGCATTGCTCACTGCCTCATGATGCTTGCTCTGACGGTCTCTGCAGTTCAGGAAGACAGGCAGCCCGACTCTTCTCCGTGCCTCATGTAGTGCAGCAGGAGACCACCCTGGCCTACTTGGAGAATCAGGTTGCGGCGGCACTCACACTGCAGTCCAGCCATGAGTACCGTCATTGGCTCCTCCTCTACGCTCGGTACCTTGTGAATGAAGGTGAGGTTTCTGGTGGCCCCTCCATCTTCCTGGGTCTGGCTCAGTTTCTACCCCAACATGACCTTCCTGAAAGCCCATGAATAAAGGCAGAAATGCAGTGGCCTAGGGTTCTCTACACTCTCCTTCCTCCCTGTCTCCTGTGTTTACCCCCGGAGGCCCTGGCCTCCAACTCCCCCATCAGCAAGGTGGCCCTCAGCACCCATCTATTAGCCTGAGCTGTAATCAAGGCAGCTTAGCAGGCATCCAGACCTATTACAGGCTCTGAGGCCCTGAATCAGGTAAGCCCTGAGGACCAGGAAGATTGGCAGCGGGAGGGGTGCAGGGGGCATAGGATGCTCGGATAAACAGGCTCCAGAAGAGCAGATGAGACACTCAGACTCCTGCCTTCCCTCATACCCTGGAGCTTCAGTGATAGCTGGTCACCCCAGACAAGGGCTTCTTCTGGCAACATCCACTGAGCCTGCATTTCTCTTCTTCCAAGCCCCTCCTGCCCTGGAAGGGCCTGCCCGCTGTCTAGTACCTCTCCTTGGCCTTCTAGCCCAGCTTTTCCTGCCAAGACTTCTGTTCCCTTCCTGGTATCTCTCCTACCACCCCTTTTTCCCTTTTCGGTCAAGCAGAAGCTAGGTATGTTGAAAGAGATGGACATCCTGTTCTCAGGGCGCCCTCCAGTAAATAGCCTTTCATCTTTCTGCTGGGCAAGTGTGGTGGTGTTTCTTACCACCTTCCTCCCACTTGAGCTTGTCCTCCAGGTTTATAGCTTGGGGACAAGCACTCTCAAAACTCCTGTGTGACCACACATCTCCAGGCCTGGTCACATAACATCGTTCCCCACAGCCTCTCCTGGCCTTCTTGGTTTGCTTTTAACATCACCCTCCCTATTTGGTTTATAATTTAGAGTACAGAAAAGAGAAAAAAAATGCCGATCCTCTACAGTTGTCACTCCTAGAACTCACATTGCCTCTGATAACATAATTGTGTGTATATATACACCTCTGATGACAACAAATATGGCTGACCAACTCAAAGCCCCTCACCCCTCCCCAGCCTGCTCCAATGATGAGTTTAATTTTTCTCTTCCCGCCCAGTCTGCATGGTTGCACAGCCTATGTGGTCACTGAGTCTTCTAAATAATCAATCTTCCCAAGCCCACACCTTTGCTGGGGTGTTCCTATCACATCTGGGCCTCACACCTCAATCCCCTGAGGATACCTGTCCTCTGACTCCTCTGATTTACTTCATCCTGGGTGTTGATCAGGACTCATCCTGATGCCCTACACAAAGCCGCTGCCTCCTCTGGGGCCTGCACCTACTTGTGGGATCACTTCTGCTTGCTTCTCTTTCTCCACCTTTCACAACATATGTTCTTAGATCCAATAACACAAGTCACCTCCGTTCTGTTTCTTGCTTCGACTATAAAAGGACTCAAATTTTAAACGGAGACCCCTCTCACTTCTATAATTCCTCAGATTCCAGCATCACCTTCTTATTCTCCACCCTCATCTTTGGGTGATTTCATCATACCCTATGGCTTCAGCTGCCGCCAGTGCTAACAGGCCCCCAGATTCTGCCACCAGCATTTGTGGCACTCCATGTGGCTCCATAAGCCATGAGGTGACGGGCCTGTGACTGCTTCTCCTATCTTCTCTGCTCCGTCACCACCTCCTTACTCTAAATTCATATCTTTGCCATCTCTTACTTCCCGAAGGTACCTCCTGACCCTGCTGATCTCCTCTCACTGTCAGCACATCTTCTCTGAAACAAATCTGACCAGCCCACTCCCCTCCTTCTACAATTCCCACATTTTCCCATCACCTTGGGGAGTTTGTCCCAGAGCTGGCCACATCTTGTTTTTCCCATGGGCCCAGCACATAGAGGGGCTACTGTATATGTTGTCAAGGGAGTGGGTTCATGAGTGAGTCTGGCAATATGGGTCTCGGTGCCCCAAACTGAGAGTCGTGCAGGAGGCTTTTTGCCCAAAGCAGCCAATAAAATAAACATTTGTTCAATCTATTTTGATATACACAACAACTTAGCATATTCTTGATTTTTTATTTCTTTTTGTAATGTGTTCCTATTTCTGTTTTGTTTTGTTTTGTTGTTTTGTTTTGTTTTGTTTTTTCCCGTAATTAGGGTTTGAATACCGACTCCGAGAAATATGCAAGGACTTACTGGGTCCGGTTCACTACTCCACTGGAAGCCAGTGGGAGTCAACGGTAGTGGTAGGTGCTGCTTTCATTCTTGCCACAAGAATTCTGTCTTGAAAAGTGAAGGTAGAAATGAAAAATAAGTCAAAGTGCTTTGAAGTTCTTCCCCATTAGACTTCTTCAGCATACTGCCTTGGGCCCCAGCATCAGTGAGAGACTGAGATGCCAGTACTTCCCTCCTGGGCAGGAGCCGGGCCCTTGGTTTCAGGGGCCTAGGGAGTGCTCAGTCACGCATGCACCTGTGCTAAGGAAAGCTGCCTGCCAGGAGCTGTGGGTTTGTTCAGTAGAGAAGATGAAAGATCCTTCCCTGCCTTTGTGGAGCTCCCAGTCTGGTAGCGAGGCAGACAAGAGCAAGTAAGCAATTCATTCAACAAGATAGTTTTAGACTATATATTATGCTAAGAAGGAAATAAGCAGAGCAATAAGCCAAGGGTTCCTGGGAATGAGCAGCCAGAGAGGACTCAGAAGGGGACTTTTAGGATGAAACCCAGGGATAAAAATGAGCCAGCTCTGCTGAGACCTGGGAGCCTCCTGGTAGAGGTGATAGTGAATGCAAAGAAGGCATGGTACATGGGGGGCCGCTGTGACTGGAGTATAGTAGGCAAAGGAGAAGGTGGTGTGAGATTAGGTGAGACAGATGAGCAGGAAGGAGATGATTAAGACCTTGTGAGGAGCTAGAGCTGTTGGAGGAGTTTGTGCAGAAGTGACATGAAGTGACCTAGATCAGTCAGCAGAAGAGATATGAACTGATGTAGCAAAGCAATAAGGAATTGTTTTTTGCAGCAGTCTTGGCAATAGGTGAAGGTGACTTGGATCGGCATGATGGCCATGGAAAGGGGGAAAGGAGAAAGATTCAAGTTGTATTTTGGAGGCAGATCCAACCAGACTTGGTGGGTGGATGGGTGGATATGGAATAGATTAAGAGACAGAGAATAATGAGTATGCATACAGTTGCCTCCAGATTTTTTGGCTTACACACACAGCTGTCAGTTCATTGAAAGGAACAGGTTGGTAAGGGATGGGGTTGTAGATGTAAGTTAGCCCCCAGCTTCATTCAGTCACTGAGCAAATACTGATGGAGCACCTGCTCAGGCCAGGCACGGGACAGTGAGCAGTGAACAAAGCCGACAAGCCCCACCTTCAAAGGTCTACATTCTTGTGCAGAGAAGCAGATTCTAAACAACAGAGCAAATGTATTGTGTTGGGTGGGGTGGATGCTGTGAACAAACATAAAGAAGGCAAGGGGATACTTTCAGGATGCTATTTTATATTGGGTAATCAAGGAAGCCTTAACTAACTGAGCGGAGACCAGAAAAGGTGAGGGGCAAAGCCCCACAGATAACTGGATGAAGAACATCCAGGTAAAGGGAACAGCAAGTCCAGAGGCCCTAAGGTGGCAGGGCTTGCAATGTGGAAGGAATAGCTGAGCAGATAGCAATGGGAGGGTGAAAGGGGTTGCAGTCAGAAAGGCTGGAGGGTCGGACCACACAGGCTCTATAGGCCGTGGTGTGTGCTTGGCCTATGTGTTTTATTTGATTTTTATTTTGTTGTAATAGATCCTAGTCTGGTTGGTTAATAGAATCCTACCTTCAAAGTCAATTCCCCTTACACTTTTGAAGGTATGGTGCCACAGTCTTAACATCCACTTTTGTTGCTAAAAATCTCTGCTGCAAATCTGATTTCCATTGCTTTGTAAGTTCTTTTGGGATCCTCTCTTATTGTCTTGAAGTTTTACAAAGCCCGTAGTCTATTTCTTTCATTCATTCTGCAGATTTTTCTTGGTTCTTTTCTTCAGTTATATCTTCCTTTCCATTTTCCCCAATATTAGAGAAATGTAATGTCTTCTCTTTTTAAAATCTTCTGTATAATTTTTTATAGTTTCAGTTTTCTCCCCAGATTTTCTATTTAGTCTTTTATCTGCTTGAGCATAGTAAGCTTAATTATTTTAAAGTTTTCTACCTGAAAATTCTGGTATCAGGAGCCCTTGTGGATCTGTTTCTCTTGCCTATAGAGGTGTCTGCAGTTTCTCATTCATATGCCTATTTCCTTACACGTCTGATTATTTTTAACTGTCTCCTGAACATGTTATTTGAAAAATTATTTGTAGGAATGATTTGAGGACTTAAGTAATGTTACTTTCTTTCATGGAGTACTTTTATTTGCTGCTGCCAGTTCTTGAGGCACCAGCACTGCAGGGTCCCCTCAACCTGGTTCAGGGATTTAGGTTTTCTGGGCTGTCTTGGAATTCAAATCCAGACATTTATTTGTGCAGGGGCTGGTTTACTTCCAGTTTACCCTTATTCTAGGGTACATCCCCTTGGGGTGGCACCATAAGGGGGGATGACTTACCAGGGACTCCTACTTTTTATTTTGGCCCCTGCTTTGATCCCCTTAGGCCCTCAAATCTGGCAGAAGCTTGCTTAGCCTCTTTCTCATCAGTAAATGTTCCTAAGGCAAAGGCGTCCTTCTCTGGCCTTCTGTCTTCTCCACATCCCAGCTCAATCCTTTGTCACTAGCACATTAGATCTCTAAGTTCTGTTTCTGTTTGTGTAGCTTCCCTGTCCTCAACTGGAAAGGTTGTGAATTACCAGTAAGAGTAAAGCTGTTTCTTTACCACGCATCACCTCCGGAACACCCTGACAGGACATCTTGGGTGAGAGATAGGCTGGCATGTGCCTTACCAACCCTTCCCCAGGCCAAGTTGTAGAGCTTCAGTCTGTGATCCAGTGGCCACTCTGGGAGCCTTAGCCCAGTCAGCTGGAGCTCTACATAGCAGTTTTCTCTCAGCCTCATGGT